CCCTCCTGACACTGAACAGCATACACAACATTACTCTGTTTGTGCCGGGGGACTGGATCTTTGGGATGAACCAGTTTTTGCCGTAATGTATTTTGGGGTTTAAAAGCCACTGGGACGTTATGTTTAGAAAATAAACGTCTCAGTTTCTCTGATACCCCCTCAACATACGGAATGACCACTGGTCTGGGTCTGGGTTCCTCCTTTTCACCTGATGGCTGACTGGAGTCCTGTTTGGGTTTCTTCTCTGCTTTCAGGAAGGCCCAGTTAGGATATCCACATTGCTCTAGAGCCTGTTTTGTGTAGGATTTCTCCTTCTGCCTGGCTCCCGAGCTAGTGGGGATGCTGTCTGCTCTGTGATACAGAGTCCTGATGACTCCTAACTTGTGCTCCAAAGGGTGATGGGAGCCAAACTGCAAATACTGGTCTGTGTGGGTGGGTTTGCGGTACACCTCGGTTTGCAAATGTCCTCTATCAGAGACTGAGACCTCACAGTCCAAGAAAGCCAACTTGCCATTTTTTACATCTTCTCGTGTGAACTTGATGTACTTATCCACAGAGTTGATGTGGTCAGTAAAATGTTGGACTTCCTGAGATTTAATTTTAACCCAGGTGTCGTCAACATGCCTGAACCAATGACTTGGTGGTGTCCCTGAAAAGGATGCCAAGGCTCTCTTTTCTACCTCCTCCATGTACAGGTTGGCAACAATAGGAGAAACTGGAGACCCCATAGCACACCCATGTTTCTGCCTATAATATTGCTCCCCATGTGAAGTAGGTTGACTGCAGGCACAGTTTCAAGAGTTGACACAGTTGTTCTGTGGAAAGCGTGGTCCTGCTGCTCAGAGTGGTGTCTGATTTTAATCTTAAACTGACCACCTCTACTGCATCATCAACAGGAATGCACGTAAAGAGTGATGTGACATCAAAAGAGACCATTGTTTCATCAGTCTCCATGATGACATCCCTCACCTTATCCACAAAGTCCATGGTGTTCTGTATGTGGTGAAAGCAGAGAAGAAACCCAAACAGGACTCCAGTCAGCCATCAGGTGAAAAGGAGGAACCCAGACTCAGACCAGTGGTCATTCCGTATGTTGAGGGGGTATCAGAGAAACTGAGACGTTTATTTTCTAAACATAACGTCCCAGTGGCTTTTAAACCCCAAAATACATTACGGCAAAAACTGGTTCATCCCAAAGATCCAGTCCCCCGGCACAAACAGAGTAATGTTGTGTATGCTGTTCAGTGTCAGGAGGGCTGTGATCAGTCTTACATCGGGGAAACTAAACAGCCATTGGCCAAAAGGATGGCCCAGCACAGAAGATCAACATCATCAGGCCAGGATTCTGCGGTCTACACTCATCTCCAGGCCAGCGGTCACTCTTTCAAGGATGAAGATGTTCACATCCTGGACAGAGAGGAACGATGGTTTGAGAGAGGAGTAAAGGAGGCCATCTTTGTGAAAAGAAATCGTCCATCATTAAACAGGGGTGGAGGCCTCCGGGTTCAACTGTCCCCCTCTTACAATGCTGTGATTGCTAGTATCACTCAGCCCTCTGTGAGTAGTAAACAGCCATCAGTGTGCTAATGATTCGTTGTTAGGCTGATGGTCCTTCTTGAGCATGTGATCAGCTGGTTTTGGTTGTCAGCAGCAAACTGGTTGATCCACTCTGAGAAGGTGCTATTTAAGAGACTGAGCTGAATACAGCACCTCAGACTGAGGAAGTCTCTCGGATGAGAGACGAAACGTTTCTAGATTTTTTTTGCTTTGTTTTGTTTTTTGTTTTTTTGAATGTCCAGAGGACCAGATTGAACTTTTTTGGATTTTTCTACCTGGATTATTGAGCATGCATCAGGATATTGTAGGAATTACGTTCAGTATGTAATGTTTTTGAGTGTTTGCGATGTTTCCAAGAGTGGAAATCTGTTGTTCTTGTTAATGTCCTGTTCAGGTTTGGTTTGACATTTACAGTATGTTAAAGTCTCTGTTATTTGATATAAACTGACACCATGAGTTAGAGGTTGTTCCTGGTATGTATAAGGGGGAAAGCACTGTGAGGGCAGAAGATAGTACCTTGTTATCCTGATGCATGCTCAGTACCTTGTTATGTTTTGCTTAGCATAACAGTTTTGTGAGTCCCCGTTCTCCTGTACACATTTTTTTTTTTCGGGGGGTGGAGAGAGTTTTTTTTTAGCTGACTTAGTTATCGGAACTCAGTTTACCAGAAGCTAATTGGTCCGTCTGAGAATATGCTCCCTCAGGAGAAAATGTAGAAATTAGCCCCTTAAATGATAGATTCTGTTGAAATGTATGGAAATAAGTGGACGGCATTCAGACAAGATACATACAGATAGATATATACAACATAGATATATTACAGTAGATTCTTTGGGCAGAGCCCCAGGCTTCAGGGCTCCCTGAGCTCTTGGGCCCCAGGGGCTGGTAGGCCCATTCAGTAATCCAGCCCTGCTTTTAATTAATCACTTCACTGCCTGCCTTTTGCTTTTACTGTGTGTTCACAACAACAGTTAGTAAAGCTGTTAAAATCAGAAGTAATTCACTTTCTACTGACAACAGTGACACAAATGACAGTAGCACTTTATTTGAGGGGGGTGACATGAACATGGCATGCATTATGAACATTAATGGCACTCCTAATGGTCATAACTGTTGTCATAAAGTGTCAGCATCTCAAACGGTGTCAGTTTTTACATTACAAAAAACAAATGACATTTTATGACATCAGTCATGACCATTGGAAGAGTGTCATTAATGTTCATGATGCATGTCATGTTTGTGACAGGTTCATGACACCAATATGTCACTCCCTTCAAGTTAAGTGTAAACAAAATGACTAAAGCTACAAAAATTGGGAAATGAGCAACTAAATGAAGTTCAAAACTGCTAGACTTTATGAAAAATGTACGCATTTAGGCTGGAAATGAAAGGGCAATGTGCATGTCATGAACGGACACAGATATTTTAGCAGCTATGCTTTATGAGGGACAAAAGTGATTTTACAGCTTTAGTAACTCTTGGAGCGAATGCACGATTACAGAGTCTACACATACAACAGTAATACCAAGAAAGGTCAGTAGGAGGAAGTGGTACTCCTAAGTAAACTTGGATTAGTAGCCATATGATGCTTTTCCACACCATCTCAACTCTCATGGGCTTAGCACCCCACCGCCCCAGTTAAGGGCCTGCCCACTGCCGGCACCCACCCCTACTCAGCCCGGTTTAAGGGACCACCTTGTTTGAGGTTCAGACTGCTCCAAGGGGCCGGCTTTGACGTAAGCAGACAGCAGGATGACCCAGAGAGCACAACAAGAAATGACATTTACTGAGAGATATCGTAGCACAGCGTGGCTACATTCGGACTTACAAGCAGTGCCGGGATAAGCTTAAGAAATTGAAGTCTGATTATAGGGTGATTAATGGGTGGAGTGGCTCTAACACAATGACCTGTTACGACCCCACCCACAGAGCGGGAAACAGGTCACAGTGGTAAATCACCTCCACCTGTGAAGAACCGAGAAGACGATAGCCAAGTGGAATCGCACTTATCAATGGCAAAGCAGCTTAACTTAGCCTAACCACTGACTAAAGGGCATGGACAAGGACACCCATTCATTTTTCTTAAAAAGAAAACATTATTGCAAAATATGCACCATTTATTTCAAATACAGCTTTGAAACAGTTACTGTGCAACAACGAACCATAGATAACATGATAATCCTAAAATTGTTTCTTCAAAACAATTAAAAGTTTAGTAAATGATGGGAAACAAATCCAAAATCCTCGTCATAAAATCTAACCAGTACATTCAAACAAGTGCCCGTGGCTTCATCAACGTTGAGAAAAAAAATGGCAATCTTTAGCTTTTCAGATTATTTTAAAACTCTGGTGAGATAACCTGTGATTGTATAGCTAGCATGCTGCCTCGGACAAGTGTGTGAGGGTGATTTTATCCTCCTCTAACTTCTTACATAAACTGAAGAGTGGAGGAGCGATGGTAAATGACAGATGTAGCTCAGCAAAGAAAGAGCAGACGTGAATTTTTAAATCGGTCAGTGAGGGTGGGATGTCTGCCGAGGCTGTTGATGGCTCCAACAGCCGTTTTATGTCTAGGGTCTGATTCGGAGATCCGGCACGGCACCGGAGTGCTATCAGCCTTACAGAGAACAGTGTTGTTAAAAAAACAAAAAGTTTTAATTTGTGTTGCCAGGTTTGTGTCTTGTAAGATAAAAATGAAGCAGAGAGGGATTGGCAGCGTGGGCGCTCGGCGACACTCACATGTACTCGATGGTGCCACAGAAAGTGTGCGTGACGCTTCCGTCGTGGATCGACTCCTTGCTGAGGCCGAAGTCCGTCAGCTTGATGTGTCCTTAAACACAACATCGGTATGAAAAGACACCATCATAAATACACAAACGGCCTCCGTTACTTGTGTGGTGCGTTACCATGGTGACAGAGCATGATGTTCTCCGGTTTCAGGTCTCGGTAGATGATCCCGTTGGAGTGGAGGTGACCCAGGGCCAGAATGATCTCTCCCAGGTAGAAGCTAAACACGTACAGAGTTCAAGTTCACGACTTACAGGAACAACGAACCTACGCTGAAGCTGCTCCAAATTAAAAACCCTGTTAGCGTGCAAATATTTCACCGCTAGGAGACAACTCGCACCAGGCCGTGTCCTCCATGAAGATGCCCTCCTTCTCCAGCTGCATGAAGAGCTCTCCTCCTGAGGAGCAGGAACAGAGTCAGAGATCGCACCTTCGGTTCTTCATCGGCTGAGTCATCGTCTAAACGGACTTCTTTTTGGGCCGTCGATACGTTAGCAAACTTTCAGCTGTTTTAGCTGCTCAGATGTCAAAATGTTCAGCTCGTTCAGGACAGTACAGCCAGGACTTTTGTTTATTATAACTTTTAGACTTTTTCAAACATTGAACTTTATATTTTCATCTGGTTGAAAATGATGTTTTTTAAAACTTGGTGCACTTTAAATCCACATCAGCATATTTGCTCCATCTCCTCGTGTCCTTTTTGTGTCGTTTAATGTTTCCAGTTTGTCTCATGTTTCTATTCATCTTTTATGCATCCTTTTTTTTTTTTTTTATTTGTCCTTTTTGTCTATTTGGGCGTCCTTTTGTCTTTTTGTGCCTTTTATGCATCCTTTGTCTTTTTGTGTGCCCTGTTGTCTTTGTCTTTTTTGTCTTTGTCTTTTTTGTCTTTGTGTGTTTTTTTGTCTTTTGTGTGTCCTGTTGGTCATTTTGTGTGTCCTTTTGGTCATTTTGTGTGTCCTTTTGGTCATTTTGTGTGTCCTGTTGGTCATTTTGTGTGTCCTGTTGGTCATTTTGCGTGTCCTGTTGGTCATTTTGTGTGTCCTGGTGGTCATTTTGCGTGTCCTGTTGGTCATTTTGTGTGTCCTGGTGGTCATTTTGTGTGTTGTGTCCTTTTTGTCATTTTGCGTGTCCTGGTGGTCATTTTGTGTGTCCTGTTGGTCAAATTGTGTGTCCTGGTGGTCACTTTGCGTGTCCTGTTGGTCATTTTGCGTGTCCTGGTGGTCATTTTGT